GCCAAAGCTACCAAACTCATCACCGACATGTTCGTTAGCCTGCGAGGAGCTCTCGCCTATGCCCTCCTTACTCGAGTCTGGCTTATGGTGTATGTGGTCTCTCTCCAGAAGATTCAAGAGCCCACCAACTTACAAGTCAGACGACTGAATGCTGGGACGCGAAAGCTGATCAGCAGCCCGAAACGCATCACCTTCCCTCGGATGAAACCGACGAACGTAGTAGATATACACAGTGATTCGGGGTATCGGAAGCTCACCGGGGAGGAAGACGATGAGACTAATGGCTACGGCATACGTGGGGCTAACGTATTACGGCGAGGAAACTCGCCTCAAGGCAAATCCGTAATCCACCTTTGCGACGGACTATGTAAATCACACCGACTGCAGGTGAGATCCAGCTATGCCGCTGAGGCACTTGCAGCTGCACACAACCTTGATGAATGTTACCCTACCCTCATCACTCTCCACGAGCTCAAGGCAGGGGCCCTGGCTCCACGACAACTACGAGATATGCGTGAAGTTGGAGGCCTAGCTATCAAAGTATCCCTTACCATAGACGCTGAGTCTGTGTACAAATCGCTATCCAGCAAAGATCTCAAGATACCGACGGAACGGACTTTACTGGGACATATCAGCTGGATACGTGAGCTCATGGATATAGGCATAGTGCATAACGTGCTGTGGTGTGATACCAGAGACATGACCGCAGATGGGCATACAAAGGGGAGTATCGATCGGGAGCTGCTTTTGGATGTGATGTCAGGTACTCAGTCATTTAAGTATGACGTGAAGCAGTTTGTTCCCTTTCGGGGTCCTGAGGACAGAAACAAGCCTAAGTCAAATCAGTTTTAGTCTGTCCTTGTTGCCCCCGCGGTCCAGTCTGCCAGCACGGGCGCCTAATACAGAGGCGCTCTCCTAGTTGCTCGGAAACGAGCCTTACTTTTCACGCTTGGCAGCGAGCCTGTTCAGATTGATTCAGGCTCTTGCTTTAATGCCCTTTTGCTCGGGGAGGTATCGCCTGTTTGGCTTACCTCTCGCCGGGCCGATAGCCCTTTGATGTCCAAGGGGTTATTTTGCGTATGCGTGAACATGCTTTGCGAGGACACTCGCCTTACAGTCTGGTGTTAGGCCAGACCGTACGTATTGTTTTTCTTGCAAAGAGTCGTGCGCGCGGCCTTTGTGGAGCCTAACGGCTGCGCGGCTATACTCACCGTCTCCTCCCCTCCCGACTTTAAGGGTAGCTCTTTGGGAGATGTTATATAGGATCGGGAGTATAGTTCGCGCGCCGTTGCCTTCGGCTCAAGGCACGCGCGCCCTATTTGCCCGGACGCTGCTGGTGTTCGCTATGCGCTGGAAAGATCATTACATCGATCTTATCCTATCTTATCCGTCCACTCCCCATACTGAACTACCCCAGCATGGCATTGGACGCTATCTGCCATCCGCTTCCCATGGAATCGAATGCCATTTGACTTACCATAGTCACTTCAGACTTCTGCCTGGGGGGTGCCGCCGAATTTTCAGATATGTAACAAATCCCTTGTGTTTTTGGACCCTGAGCCTGCCGATTTGCCTGCAGCCGCCGAATTTCAGAAATGTGGCAAATCCCATATGTTTTTGGACCCTGACCCCGCCGATCTACGTGAGGGGTGCCACTGAATTTCAGAATTAAGCAAATCCTATATGCTTTTGGGCCCTGACCCCGCCGATTTGCGTGAGGGGTGTTAATTTTCACCCACCCCAGCAATTCTGACAATACGATTTGGGCGTGGTAAAAATGCCCGTTTTGGGCCTCCCCCCTCGCGCGGTCCATCAACAAGGAACAGTAAGCAGCAAGAAGTCAATAAGGAACAGTAAGCAGCAAGAAGCAGAACTGTAACATTGGAGCTGGAAGCTGCAATTGGTGCAGGAAACTGCGAACCTCTGGCCTACAGCCTGGTGGCCCCACAGGGGGGCCGGCGGATCCCACCCTCTTCCCTCCACTCCCTCTCCCTCCCCACCTTCCCCATTTCCTCACCGGCATTCCCACACACCCATTCCCAGATTCTCTCCCTTCATCCTTCCCTGTCCTCCTCCACTTCATCCCGTCTGTCTCCCTCCTTACCTCCCTTCCTCCCTCCCTTCCATCCACCAAATCACTCGACCACATGTTGTCAGCCTTCTTTTAACAACCGCAGTTTGGGCAAATCTTTTGCATGAGCAAGTCAGCGCGTTCGTAAGTTACTGGGGCCACGAACGTGACATGTCCCTACGAGGAGAATACCACACGTGCGCTCTGCGGCATGTGCTTTGGGGCCCCGCCGACGTCAGGCGAGCCGACACTGCAGAGGGAGAAGTCTCGTAGTAATTCTTCGCTCCTGGTCCTGAACATGTTCGAGTCCTGATCAACACGATGCCCCGATAGGGCCGATAGGGGCGCGTTTCGCCCTGAGACTTTCTCCAGCTTGCAGCGGGCGTGTGATTTGTTAGTTGGTCGGGTGGTCGGTTGGCTGGCTGGTTGGTCCGTTGGTTGGCAGGCAGGCTGACTGGGTGGACTGGCTGGCTGAGTTGGTTGATTGGCTTGTTTGGTTGTGGTTGGCTGGCTGGCTGGCTGGCTGGCTGGCTGGCTGGACGGCTGGACTGCTTAGGTGCAACGCCCTGCACGACCCTGCACTTGGCAGAGTGCAGAGACGAAGGACTCACAGCAACAGCGTGTCGAGCTCGCTGTGAGGAGCGGAGGCTTGACGTCGTAGGCCCGGCCATCCTGCGGTCAGGCGCACCGCCGGGACCAGGCCTGGCGCTGGCCAGCACTCGGGCCAGGCCTGGAGCGAGCGACGGCCCCGACCTGCCTGTGGAGGCCTGGGCCGACGCTGGCCAGCGTGCCCGGTCGAGGGCGGCCCCGCGCCCTCCGGGGAGCGCACGTCGCGCAGAGCGCAGGGCTCCGGGCGGAAGCACACGAGTGCAGGTCCCCTCGACGCAGAGCGAGGGCGGGAAAGCAGAGACAGGGACCAGGCCCAGCTTCGAAAGGGAGGGGACAGGGTGCTCCTCCTCCTCCTCCTCCTCCTCCTCCTCCTCCTCCTCCTCCTCCTCCTCCTCCCCTCCTCCTCCTCCTCCTCCTCCTCCTCCTCCTCCTCCTCCTCCTCCTCCTCCTCCTCCTCCTCCTCCTCCTCCTCCTCCCCCGCCCCCCTTCTGGCCCAGAGTCGCCGCTCTGCGAGAAGCGCAGCGATCTGGGCGCTGGTCCTGCACAGAGCTTCAGAGAGCCCTTTGGGGAGGGGCCCCAGCACTGCGAGGGCCGCCAATTTTCCCGAAGGCCAGAGCGTCCACTTCGCAGCCCAGGATCACCGGGAGCGCCGGGCGCCCCCACGAAGTGCGAGGGGGCGGCAGGACGAGGCGAGCCTCATGCTACGAGCGCTGCGTAGTCCTACAACAACTCGGTTCTGGTTCTGGTTTCGGTGATTGCATGGTCAGCGCTACTCCAATGCTGACGCCAGATATCTGACGTGGACGCAGGGGCTTCCAAAATCCGACGACCCCTCCGCAGCATTGGAGAACGCAGTTTCTGACAAGTGCCCGAGAAGATCGATCGTCGTGATTTCCCACTGCGTTTCCGTTTATTTTTGACGAGGCTTGTAGTGGGCGCAATTCTTGTGCGGCTTAAATGTATCAGCCCGCACTGAGCATGTCTCTCTGTCCGATGTGGGGCAACACGAGAGCCCCGTTGCAGAAGGGGTGTGCTCACGTGCCGCTTGCTGCCGGGCAGGCGAGGACGCGCAATGCACTTCCGTCGCCTGATGCGCCGCGCGGGTGGCGACCAGGACCAGCGCGGCTAGACAGATTCGATGCTCGTTTCGGGGACCTTCCTGGAGCCCACCTAATGGATCTGTTCGACCCCAGTTCGACTCAAGTTCGACTCAAGCTCGACTCAGCTTCGACTCAGGTTCGACTCAGGGTCGACCCAAATCGACTGATGTTCGACGCAGCTTCGACGTACGAGTGGAGCGAGTGGCTCCAGGAAGGTCCCCAGAACGAGCATCCAAGACAGAGGCCAAACGGGGGCAGTGGCAGAGGCGAGCGCTGACGGCACACAAACCAATCGGAAAAATTGGCTGAACGAGTGAGAGCGTTCAGTGCATGGTTCTAGTAAGTACTGGCGGGGACAGCCAGAGGCTAGCGGCGGCAACCTTAGCAAGCGGCAGTCAGGGCTACTGGCTAGCAGCAGCAATCAGCGCTTGGGGCAACCAAGAACCAACGACTCAGAGAACAGACAGTGGCGCCTCAATGCAAGGGGTTAGCAGGGGCTGGGGACGGCAACCCAGAAGTGGTCTCGCTAGGGCCAGTAGGGCCCAGCGGCGGCCGAAGCGGGCGGCAGAAGCCAGCGTTGGCGGCAGCAATGGCCACGGAGCTAGCGGCGGCAACCACAGTCGGCGGCAACTCGTGCGGAGGGGTGAGTGGCGGCCGCCAGCGCCAACGGGTCGCACCTACCAAGTTCTTGACAAGCCATCGGCAGCAACCAGCATCGTGGTCAGCAGGGCTAGTAGTCACCACCCACCAAACCACCCCAACCCAACCCGAAGGCCTCAATTTGCCATCAATTTCCAGTGGGGGGGGGGGTCGGGGAACATTGAACAAACACATATGGAACCCGTACCCCCCCCCCAACCCGAAATTCGAGTCTTCGGGTTGGGTTGGGGTTGTCTGGTAGGTAGTCAAGTAGGGCAAGGCTGGGACTGGAGGGGGCCAGTGCCAGCACAACGAGCGCTGACGCCAGCCAGAGCTATTTGGGATAGGCAGGGGGTGGTAGGGGCTAGTGGGGAAAACGAGGGATTAGCGGCGGGTGCCGCAGTCGCCTAGTGGCCGCGCTAGCTGTCTGGAGGCCGCCACCAGCGCCTACAGCAACCAGGGCTATCGGTGCTTGTGGCGCAGGTGACGACAATGAGCACGGATCGGCCAGAGATCCCACTCTTCAGAAGCCAGGCGCAATTCCCGTCTTCTTCCCCTCCCTCCCCCCCCCGCGCACACAGGACACCAATGCGGTGCTCAGCTGGCTTCGCCTTATGAGCGTCCCAGAGGTGCAGTCCATCGGCTTCGAGGCGGCGGCCACGCGCACTGAAGAAGAACGGGAGCAGCATGCGCAGGAGCAGAAGGGGGAGCATGGGCAGGCGGAGGAGAAGGATGAGTCCCCTTCGCTTGGCCCGCGCCCGCAATATGTACGCTTGCGCGCGGGTGTGCACGTATGCGCCAGCGCAGATCTGCGCACTGAACGCGCCCACGCGGGCACTTGCTTGCCAAGCGTGGCTATGGTTGCGGCGATGATCCCTGCTTGCGCGCGTTCCCAACTGCGGCCACTCTAGTTGCTCCTGGCGTCGAGGTAGGTACAGAAGGCTCTGAAGCTGCCGAGGCAGGAATGTACACAAGTTCCCCGAACGCAAGGAAGCCAGGTCAGGAGGAAAAAAGCCAAATCCAGAAATTGACGGGGCAAACCCAGTCCCCCCCCCAAATATATATATATATATATATATATATATATATATATATATATATATATATATATATATATTGCATTCCAGAGGGTAACCCCGCCAAACAATGGAGCTGATCTGGACATTTTCCTTCCAGGTCCAGACAAGCACCAAATCCTGAAACTTGAAAACCAAACCCGTGAAAACGACACCCACGCCCATAATTCCCCAGGGGCAAAGCCAGGAATTGCATTGGTCTGGGGGTGGTGGAGCTTGGTAGATGGAGAGCGGGGAGAGGGGAAAGGGGAAGCGAGGAGGGAGGGGGGGAGGCAGGAGGCAGGAGACGGGAGGGAGGAAGGCGGAGGATGCAGGAGGAGATGGGGGAGCGAGGAGGGAGGCAGGAGTCAGGAGGGAGGAGGGAGGAGGAAGGAAGGTCGGGCGCGCGCGTGGGCAGGCGGGCGGGCTTGCAAGCGGGCGGGCGAGAAGGCAGGCGGATGCAGGAGGGCGGGCCTGCGGGCGGACGCGCGCTTCGGCCGGCGGCCTGGCGGTAGGCGCGCGCGTGCGCAGGCGGGCAGGCGGGCGAGTGCGCGGGCGGGCGGGCGTCATCGTCGTCGTCGTCATCGTCGTCGTCGTCATTGTCGTCGTCGTCGTCATTGTCGTCGCCGATGTCGTCGTCATTGTCGGCGTCATCGTCGTCGTCGTCGCCATTGTCGTCATTGTCGTCGTTGTAGTCGCCGATGTCGTCATCGTCGTCGATGACGTCGTCGTCGTCGTCGTCGTCGTCGTCGTCGTCGTCGTCGTCGTCGTCGTCGTCGTCGTCGTCGTCGTCGTCCGTGTCCTCGTCGTCGTCGTCCGTGTCTTCGTCGTCGTCGTCCGTGTCGTCGTCGTCGTCCGTGACGTCGTCGTCGTCGTTGTCGTCATCGTCGTCGTCGTCGTCCGTGTCGTCGTCGTCGTCGTTGCTGTCCGCGGTGGAGCTACGTGCCGGGTACATTGTTGTGCTCACTTTGTTCGATGTGCAGTTTTGCATTGTGGCGCGTAAAATTATACCTATACGACCACCCTTCGGGTGATAAGGAGGTTCGGGGGGGGAGGAACCAACGTCTCACTCGATCGGTCCCACTATCGATCTCACGATCGATCTCACGATCGGTCTCGATCGATCGATCTCCCTCGATCGATCTCACAATCGATCTCACTCGATCTATTTCATCCGATCGATCTCACAATCGATCTCGCTATCGATCTCAGAGAGAGCGTGATCCACCGCCGCTTTACTGTGGAAAATTGCCAACCTTTTCCTCCGGAACCCGGGGGTCGCCCCCCCCCCCCCCCCCCCCCCCCCCGAAATTCCCCCCCCCCCCCCCTGAAACCCCTTCCCCCCCCCCCGGCAAAACCCCCCCCCCTCCGTAACCCCTCCCCCCCCCCCCCCCCCGTCCTCCTCGAAAACCGGGGGGGGTCACTACCGGTTCGAACCCCCCCCCCCCCCTCCGGATCCGGAAAACCGGGGGGGGTCACTACCGGTTCGAACCCCCCCACCCCCCTCGAAAACCGGAGGGGGATCACTACCGGTTCGAACCCCTCCCCACCCCCCCACTCACCGCCAGCAAACGACTCCCGGTCCCTACCACCGTCCGCATCACATCCTCCACTGTTGTTCCCAGCACCACTGTCCTCACCACCACTGTCCCCACTGTGTCCCCACCAGTGCCCCCACCACTGTCGCACTGTCCCCACTGTCCCCACCACTGTTCCCACCACGGTTCCACTCTCCCCACTGTCTCCACGGCCCCAACCACTGCCCGACTATCCCCACTGTCCCCACTGTCCCACTGACTCCGCCGCTGTCCCACTGAGCTGTCCCACTGTTCCCACCACTGTCCCCACTGTCCCCACCACTGTCCCCACTGTACCTCTGTCCCATTGTCCCACCGCCGTCCTCGCCACCGCCTTCACCACTGTCCCCACCACCATTGTACCCTCCACAGTCCCACTGTTTCCACCTCATTCCCACTGTGCCCACACCGCTGTCCCCACCACCACCGTCCCCACCACTGTCCACTGTCCCCCCTGTTCCCACCATTGTCCCCACCACTGTCCCCACCACTACCGGCCCTCTACTGTCCCACTGTCCCACTGTCCCCACCACTGTCCCGCTGTCCCCTCACCACTGTCCCACCAACACCGTCCCCACCTCTGTCCGCGCTCTTTCCGATCTCACTATCGCTCTCACTATCGATCTCACTATCGATCTCACTATCGATCTCACATTCGGTCTCACTATCGGTATCACTATCGATATCACCATCGATCTCACAATCAACGTCATCATCAACATCATCGTCATCCCCGTCATCATCATCATCATCATCATCATCATCATCATCATCGGGAAACCATCATCATCACCTCATCATCAACATCATCATCACATACCATCACCATTCCATCATCGGGACACCATCATCGTCACCATCATCATCATCATCATCATCAACATTATCGTCATCGGGACACCATAATCACCATCGGAACACTACCATCATCATCGTTATATCATCGTCATCATGATCAACAGCATCAACACCATCATCATCGGGACACCACCATCATCACCAGCAACATCATCATCAACATCATCATCGGGACACCATCATCATCATCATCATCATCATCGTCACTATCATCATCATCATCACCATCAGCATCATCATCGGGACACCATCATCATCATCATCAACATCAGCATGATCATCATCACCATCACCAGGCCACCATCATCAAAATCATCATCATCATCATCACCTCGTCAGCATCCTCATCATCATTATCACCACCATCTTCGGGACACCATCATCGTCATCATCAACATAGTCATCATCTTCGGGACACCATCATCATCACCATCATCATCAACAGCATCATCATCAACCTCGTCATCATCACCATCGGGACACCATCATCATCTTCATCACCATCATCATATCATCATCATTATCCCATCACCATCAACACCATCATGATCATCGACATCATACCATCGGGGCACCATCATCATCACCATCACAATCAGCAACATCATCATCAACAGCATTATCATCGGGACACAATCATCATCACCACCATCACCGTCATCATCATCAACAACATCGTCAACATCATCATCATCGGGACATCATCAGCATCACCATCATCATCAACAACATCATCGACATCATCATATAACTGCTTGCTGAGTGCTTTGGTCCTTGCAATGTTGTGTGCCGCAACCACTGCGGCTCAAGTCTTTAATTTGCGCAAGCTCCCATATGCAGAACCTCGCCCAGTCCTTCTCAGACATTCTGCGATACGGGGCTCAGGCGGTGGGAGCTTCCCTGGTGGCGCGGGCGGCCGCGCCGAGCTGCGGGGCTTGCGCGCCGCTGCTGACTTGGCCCGCCATCCCCGCCTGCGTCTGTGCGGGTGCTGGCGGCCAGGTGCCCGAGCCGTCCTGCGGTGGGTTCATCGCGGCCTACGCGGCGGCCGCTTTGGCCGTCGGGCTCGCCGTGGGAGCCGTCGGGGGCGTGCGGCTGGCCAGCCGCCTAGTGTCCCCGCAGACCGCCGAGGCGCCCGCTGTGGACTTTGAGGAAGAGGCGCGAGCGCAGGCAAGGACCGTCAGGGCCAAGAAGGCCATCAGTGCTTGATCATGGCTCACCAGCTCCACTGGGCCTTGGTGAAGTATCGCGTCGGGGGCGCGCATGTATGGCATGAGAGGCTCATCGTGTTGCGCGGCCCTGGGACGACCGTCTACGTCGTCACCCCCGACGGGGATCGGTACGAGGAGAGCGGGGTCCCCGATGCGGACATCGAGGGTATCATCACGATTGCGGGCCAGGGTGAGCGGCCAGCGGGTTTGCGCGTGTATGGTTTCAGGGCCTTGCCGTCGGCCGCCGACGTGTGGGCGGGCATCCAAGAGGCGATGGTGCTCTACGGCATGCTCCGCCCCGCTTCGCCTGCCAGCATGGCGCCGGCGGCGGACAACGCGTTCGGTCTGCCAGCTGGCAGTCTCGCGCTGGCCGACCCTGCGCCCCCGCCCGCGGCGGGCCCCCCCCGCCCTTGGCGCACCCGCCGCGGGCGCCGCTGCTGGCGCGGCGGCCCCTGCGGGAGGCGCGGGAACGGCACCCGCAGCGCCAGCAGGTGCCGTCGCGATGCCTGGCTTGGTGGCGGCCTTGGCGGGGGCTGGTGCTGTGCCCGCCGCTGCTGCCGCTGGCCCCGCGCTGGTGGCGCCTGCCGCGGCGGCTCCTGCTGTGGCCGCCCCTGCGGCTCCGCCCGCCGCGCTGCCAGTCGCCCCCGTGGCCGCGGCGGCCGCTGGAGGGGCGCTCGTGGTGCCCGCGGCGGCCGGGCCCGCCGCTGGTGGCAACCCCGCCGACCTGCGCGTCAACGCCGTGGGCCTCGACGCTCGGGGCGACCGCTGGAGGAAGTTCCGCGACGGGACGTTGCTCCAGAGCACGACCGACTGGAGCGACTGGCCCGTCGGAGGGTCCAGGGCGGCTGCCTGGGTGCATGCCCACATCCAGCGCCACGCGGCCTCGCCGTCCGCGCGGCATACCAAGTGGATGACGGAGTGGGAGATGGCGGAGGACGACCCCATCACGCGG